ACATTGTATTAGTTTTATGTGTACAACATTAATGGCTTGATATGTGTATATATTGCAAAATGATTGCAATAAATGTAGTCAACATCTATCACCTCACGTAGTTACAATTATTTTCTTGCGATGAGTACTTTTAAGATTACTCTTTTAGCTCCCTTAAGTGAGCTCTCTGGGGTCTCTTTTATAAGGGCACTAATCCCTTCATGACGGCTCCATTCTCATGACCTAATCACATCCCAAAGACCCCACCTCCAACTACCATCATATTGGGGGTTAGGATCTCAATATATGAAGTTGTGGTGGTGAGGGGACATAGGTATCTGGTGTATAGAAAACTATCATTACGATATTGAATAAAAGTTGCATAATTAGATATTCTTGTTTTATTCCTGACCTTAGGGGATGGAAGCATTCAGTCTTTCACCATCTTGAATATGATATGGAAGTTTTTCACTTATCAGTTTTCCATTTTTCAGTTTGAGAAATTTCCCTTTTATTCTTAATTTCTTGAGTGTTTTTATCATGAAAGAGTGATGAATATTTTCAAATGCTTTTTCCTCATCTATTAGAATGAGCATGTGGATTTTGTTTTTTATTAATATGGTGTATTACATTAATTGATTTTCAGATGTTAAACTAACCTTGCATTCCTAGGATAAATCCCACTTGGTTATAAAATATAATTCTTTTTATGTGTTGTTAGATTTGGTTTGCTAATATCTTGTTGAGGAATTTTCAGTTCTTTACACATTTTTGAAAGATGTTTTACTGGGTAGAGAATTCTTTGCTGACGGTTTTTCTTTCATATTTTATTTTATTTTTTCTTTCATATTTTAAAGACATAGTTTCATTTTTTTATGGCCTGCAAAGTTTCTGATGGAATATACATGTTTTTGTCTGCAACTTACGTTTCTCTTTTTTCTGACTTCCTTCAAATTTTTCTAATATTTTTGATTTTTGATAGCTTGAATATGATATGTTTAGGTGTGTTTTTCTTTGTATTCATCTTGCTTGGAGTTTTCTGAGATTATTGCATATGTAGTTTTATTAGTATTGTAATATTTGTGACCACTGTATCTTCAAATAATTCTACCTCATTGTGTTTCTCTGGTACATCAATTACACATATGTTAAACCATTTAATAATAATTTTCAGGCATTGTATATAAAATATAAAATAATACTGGAGACTGATATATTTACACCTGAAAATGATGATTCTTCTTGTCTGGCTATTAGTGTAAGTTTGTCAATGTTGGCAGAAATAGAGTTGGATTTGGGTTTTGTTTTGCTAATTTATCTTCAGTGCACCACAGGCTTACATTCTTCTAATAGGGCCTGTAGCTATCTTTTCCTTCATGTGAATGAGTGCTTGAAAGGTTTTTTCTGGTGGTTGTTGTTTTTTTTTTGTTGTTGTTTGTTTGTTTTTTGTCTGTTACTATTCCATCTTCAATTTGCAGCCAATTTAGTAAGACTGCACCACAGATGGCATCCCTTTCTGCTGTCTTGACTCACCTATGTGGATGGAAAAGGGGACACAGGTTAAACCTGACAACTTTAGGAGATTGAAAATAACCACATAAGATGGTGTGAGCATAACAAACTTTCATAACCAAGTGGGCCATGGTGGGAAGTCACATCTTTAGCTTCCTTTATAAAGTTAGTTTGTGTCTTTTCAGTGGGCCTCTGCATTTTTTTTTTTTTTGCACCTAAGAGAACATCTTAGGAATTTTAGTAATCCTTTTTCTGAACCAGCTCTGGAAACTGCAAAATTCCTTGTAATCATACTTATCTCCTGATTACAATCTCTTTGTGCTGTAAAAAAGCTAACTGTTAGCTATCCTGCACCCACCTATGTAAAAGAAGTACCTGTCTTTCCAATTTACTTTTGTCTAATCCCAGAGGTTTCCCAGGCTTTGCTCTCTCCCTCCCCCTTAATCTGTCACCAGTGGATTTCATGTAACTTTCCTCCTTTGGTGTTATGTATAAAATAAGCTGCAAACTGCCATTTTGTGGAACATTTTCTCAATCAGTTGAGATTTTGCTTCCCGACAATTGTCGACAGTTTGGCTCAAATAAACTCTTATAACTTTTCTCTTAGGCTGGATGTTTTTCGTCAATGCCTATATGGTGGAGTGCTATTGTTTTTTATTCATGTAAAGCTCATAATGGAAGCAGGGAATTGGCTCTTCTGGTCCAGCCTCAATCTTAGGCCCTGAGTGCCTGAGCTTCAAGGGTTTGACTTTGTCTCTTTTGGTGGCAGTTCTTGGGAAGGAAAAGACATTCCTGCCCCTCCTTCTTTGGCAGATGGTTTTTATGTCTACCCTTCCTTCTGGTGGGAGCCAACCTTTGGGTAGACCACAAGAAAGTATGGTTTCCTGCTCCTCCCTCAATGGCAAATGGCTTTTGCTCTGTCCCTCTCCCTGTAACAACTAACCTTTGCTAGGGATTAAGGGGCAGAAGAGTTTTCTGCCTCAATCCCAGAGGCAGAACTGCTTTTGTTTTGCATGCTAAAAGTTCAGGAACACAGCACTGTGGGGGAGGGGATGGGTGGATGAGCAAGTGTTCCTGATTCTCTGTCAGCAGTAGCCACCACCAAATGTTCTCTTGCCCTGTTGAATGGCAAAGACCTGGTGAGTGTGGATTCCCCTTGTTTCTGAGGATGCTAGGGTTTCTAAGCCACACGCTAGCCCTTACTTGGCCTATAAAAATTCATTATAATTTCAGGTGTTTTCTTCTTATCTTCTTTTTATGGTTGCTATCTCCTCCTATGCTCTGCCAAAGGTGAAGCAGTTCTGTGTCCCACCCTTTTTCTGAGGGGTTCTTTACCTTTGCAATCAGTTTACCTTGTTGCTTTGGAAATGTAACTCTCCAATGGGTTCAGAAAGTGATGGTATTATATATTTCTCAGCTTCTTTTTCTTTTTGTTTTGATGATTGTTGTTAGAAAAGGGTCACATTCTACTTGGCTCTCTTTACTCTGAGTAGAAGTAAAAGTCCTAGTACCACTTATTTTGTATAGACCTACCTTTCCCCCTCTGTTGTCAGGCAGTGCCCAGTCTGCTACCAAAACTCAAGAATAAGAGTTGCTCCACTTTTCTACCTCCAGGAATCCTGTTTCCTTTAAACTTCATGACATTAATAAATGTCATGAAGCAATCTGGAGGACATCCTAGTTAAGTATGAGGAATATGGGAAAACTAGGGCATTATTCCTGTTGCCGGAAAACAGGTTCTTGGTGTCATCACAGGAAAGAATTCAAGGACTCACTGAATGAGCCAAGCAAGCAGTTGATTTATTAAAAGAAAGGAAGAGAGTACATCCCCAAAATAGTGGGAGTGGGCAGGCCAGGAGCAGAGCAACTGCCCTGAAGAAGAGGCTTAGGATTTTATTAGCATGTTCAAGATTTAGGGGTGGCATTATAGGCATTCCCAAGGCAGGTTTTCACTGACTCCTTCCCGTCAGGAGATGGGATATCCTTGTCTTGATTTGCCCTTGTGGGAACTGTCATGGCAACATGGGGTGGAGATTTTCCCCTGCATGCAATAGTATTATAATCCATTACAATTAAAGTTCACCTTGAGGGGTAAAATGGTTTCCTGAGTCACCAAAATCTAGTTCTGGCTGGTGTGGCAGCTGCGACTTTTCTTAAGAACGATCTCATATTCTCCTTCCTTTCCTACCCTTTCTCTCCACGCAGCCCCATTCTTTCTGCATATGGTAACATTTCTACTTATGTAGTGACCATACTCATATATTGGGGGTGCCAAAAAATGTATACACATGACTCGCATTCACCTTTTGTTATCGGTATATATTATTACAATTTTAATACAGGTTTTCCTTTCTTAAAATGTGTATAGATTGTTTTTGGCACCTTCTGTATTTGACAAACTAGGTCTCTTAGTAAAGGTGAAATAACATTTCCATTCATTGATGAGCATAGAGTTCTGTTGAAGCAAGCTCAGGCCTCATGTTAGTGGTGGGGCCCGTGGGACCCTCTTCCCCAGCAATGCTCAATGATTTTTTTCCGCCTGACCAGTACTTTCTATCAGCACAAAATTTGTTGAAGAGCTGGATTGTTTTTGGTAACACAAGGTCTAATCCATGGGAGGGAAGGTAGTTTCAATTTTCCTCGAATGTCACCCTCCGAACATACATGGCCTGAATAACTTATATTTTGCCTAAGTAAAGAAAAAATGAGAAGTTACATTTTCATATAAACAACACATATACTTAATATCCTGCTACTATTCTCCTACATTCTTTCTTTACAGTTAAGATTTTTGTACCTGGGAAAATAAATCACGCTCTAGGTCCCATTGCCCCGTATTTCAGAAGGAAAATAATAATCCTTTCTGTTCTTGGCTAGAGGTAGAATTTCTAGGACAATAATTTCTATCTGTAAAACACTTCACAGAAGTATTCATTGGGACATTGTTTTATGATCATTGCTGGTATAAGTGTCTTTTTCATGTCTTCTGATTTCTCTTCCTCCTTCAACAATTGGCAGGTTATTTCTAGTGAGATTATTCAGTTAAACAAGCAAACAAACAAACAAAACAGTACTATAAAGTAAGTCTGGGGAAGTTGGGGGACAGTTTCACCATGCCATCATTTCATATTTCTGTTTCCTCACTTGCCAATGAGAAAGTATTAAATTTGATGCCGTTAGAGTTACTCTGGTGCTTCCTGTGTTAACAGTTATCCGAATCTAGTACACTAGCTTTTTTGTTTTCCTCCCCATCCCCCCACATAGAAGCCTTGGAAACAGCCTTGGAAGCTCTCTCAGGGCAACCGTCAACCTCCTTGCGGGGACGTTTGCCTCCTGTCAAGAAGGGACGTTCCCTCTGGAGGCTTGGGCTGCAGGTGCCGGTTCCGCCCACGTCTCCGCCCAGGGACTGGTGGGTTGGAGCAGGCAGCCCTGCGCCTGGGAGCCACAGGCCAAGCCGCCCACCCCCGCAGCGTGAGCCACGCCCCCGCCTCCGCAGGCGCCCTTGGGCCATGCGGAAAGCCCGAGCAAAGGTGGAGCCTCTGGCCGCACGGGCCCAGCGCACCATGAGAGCTGGGCCTGGGGAGGCTGAGGAGGCCAGGAAATCCAGGAAAAAACCCTGGTATATAAGGATAATTACCCTGATCAAGTTCAGAAATTTCGGAAAAAAGAAAAGAGACAAGGCTGGGGGGATAACCTCCATGACGGAGAAGCCACAAGTACGGAATGAACAGTTGGAGGGGCCCTGTGGTTTGGGCTGTATAGTCATTCGCAGCTGTCAGCGTTTTAATAACATCCATTGCTTCCTAATTTTCTACTGCACCCTGGTAATCTCTCAAGGTGAGCCTGAAGAAGTGGGGTGGTGGCGGTGGTGTAGTTCTCGTGAGGGCAGCAGGTTGCCTAAGTGGGGGAGGCCAGAGAGGGACCAGGTGGCACAGCTTGAGGCTGCTGTGCTCTCTAACGTTCTCAAGGTACGTCTAGAATCAAAGTAGGTTAAGCGGGTTACCGCCCGGGTTTGAGCTCCTGTCATTGCTTTACTTCATCAAGCACCTGATTGACAGTTAGCCTTCACAGTGTGAATGATAGGAGCCTGGCCTCCAGATAGCCACCTAGAGGGAGTGGTGTTGAGTTATTGTTGTTTGCTCACCAACCCTGAGAAGTTCAAGGTTAAGTCACTTGGGGGATTAAATAAAGTTGAAAACAGTCTGACCACCAGGTTGATTTTGCTTCTGCCCAGCTTTAAGACACACTTACCAAGCCATTTCCTGCCTGGGCCTTGTTCCCTCCTGTGTGAATTGAGGAGATAGAGTGGGAACTCAGACAATGTATATCAGACAACCCAAATACACAGTTTGAAGAAAATTGTGAATTTGAGTGCCTTTAGAGGGGGCATGCATTGAGGCCCTCACCACTCCCATTACACCTAGATTCTTTACTAGCCTGTGTTTAAGCTGATGACATTGGTGTTTGCCAAACATGGTCCTTTTTGCTCTAAAATGCTATGTATAAATAAGTGCAATAAAAAAGACTAAATGTGATAAGAAACATATAAGAGGAACAAATAAGTAGGCATCAGTTTATTATTCTTGAGATCATCAAAGAGAAAGAAGCAGCTGAACTATGCCTTGATAAATAGGTACAGTTCTGATAGCTGGGGTTGTAGTTAAGGAATGTTTATTGATAAGGAAATGAATGAATGAATGTCTTGATAAACACTCCTACAGGAAAGCCTTGTTTCAGAATGGTGAGTGACAAGTTTGACTGGATGATGGTTTCACCTAAGTACCAACAATGGTAATTTATTTTATTTATTGTCTCCCCCACCACCACCAAGACCTAAGATAGTGACTGAGGCAGAAAAGACACTCAATAAATATGTACTGAATACATAAATGAGTAAAAAAGAAGGAAAAGACAAGTTGTGGCCACATTATGAAGGTCTTTAAATACCAGGCTAAGAATTTTGAAAGGATGCTAAAAGGCGTTTATGTCCCACTAGTGTCCTGGGTGATGAGTAAGGTGCTCTATACACATTATCTCACTTGATATCATTTCCTTATTCAGTGGATAATGAGATATTTAAGGTTTTTGAACAAGTGCTTGACAGTGAATGATTTTATCTCCATTTTATTAACTGACTTCATAATATTGAGTCCTCCATTTATAAAAAGGGTATATCTCTTCACTTATCTATTCATCAATTGATATATTTATTATCCAGTGTTACATTTTACAACAATTTTGAAATAATTTCCAACATATGGAAAGGACGAAAGCCAATGCAAAGAATTCCTGAGTTCCTTTCACCAAGATTCTCTAGTTGTTTATATTTTTTAGTTGTTTTACACTTTGTAGTTTACATTAGTTCACCTTTTCTTTCCCTATACATATAGATTTTTTTAGACATGGTGCCCCATTACTGCTAAATAATCCAATGTGCATGTTCCCAAAGTGAGGACACTCTCCTATGTAACCACCATCCACGCCTCCCAGTCAGTACTCTCGGTGCAACACCACCATTAAACTATGAATTGGTGGCCCCACGCAGACATTGCCAACTGTCTCAGTCATGTCTCCTTTTCCTTTTTAATCCAAAATTCTATCCAGGAACTCTGGTTGCATTTAGTTGTCATATTTTAGACTTCCTTAATCTGATACACTTCCTCATTTTCCTCCCCTATTTCTCATGTCCATAAAAGTCTTAAAATATATGGGTTTTTCATTCTGTATGTTGAACTTCAACCTCGTATGTTTGATGCTTCGTTCTGATCAGATTCAGGCCATACCTGCCTGCCCTGCCTGCCTACCTAGCCCCCTATCCCTTTCTCTATCCCCAATTTGTGGTTTACCTTTTTTATTTTTTTACCTGTGTTTTTTTATTAAAAAAGTGTTCAGTTTTGTTGCAGCCCAATATAATTTGTTTTAATTTTTATTTATTATTATGATTTTATTATTATTAGTTTCATGTGTACAAAACAATTCAATAGTTATCCTTTTCACCCCTCACAAAGTGGCAACCCCTCTCCCCCCATCCACTGCCCTCCCATCCCCGATAACATACTTGTCTATTACAATTCCATTGACTCCATTCCCACATTCTACTCTACATCCCGTGACTATATGTATATATAATTATAATTGACATACAGTATTATTCAACATCAGCTTCAGAAATACAGTGCAGTAGTCAGGCCTCTACACTGTCTATGAAGTGGTCTCCCTAACAAGGTGTGAGTCCATCTGGCCCCCTAAGAAATATTTACAACATTATTGATTATATTCCCCAGACTGTCTTTTCTATCCCTGAGGCCATATTGTAGTTACCAGTTTGTATTGTCTCATCCCTTCCCCTTCTCATTCATCCCCACCCCCTCCCAACTAGCAACCCTCAGTTTTTCCTCTGTGTCTCTGAGTCTATTTCTGTTTACATTTCTCGTTTATTCAGTTCGTTGGATTCCACATATAAGTGAGAGCATATGGTATTTGTCTTTCTCTGACTGACTTATTTCACTTAGCATAATGTTCTCTAGGTCCATCCATATTGTTGCAAATGGTACCATTTCCTTCTTCTTTATAGATGAGTAATACTCTATTGTGTAAATGTACCACAGTTTCTTAATCCAGTTGTCTACAGATGGGCATTTTGATTGTTTCCAAGTCTTGGCTATTGTAAATAGTGCTGCAATAAACATATGGGTGCACATATTTTTTCGAATTAATGTCTCAAATTTTTCTGGATAACTACTTAAGAGTGGAATTGCTGGGTCATAAGGTAGTTCCATTTCCAGTTTTTTGAGATACCTCCATACTGATTTCCATAGTGGCTGCACCAATCTGCAATCCCACCAACAGTGCACCAGGGTTCCCTTTTCCCCACAACCTCGCCAGGATTTCTTGTTTGTTGATTTATTGATGATAGCCATTCTGACCAGAGTGAGGTGGTATCTCATTGTGGTTTTTATTTGCATCTCTCTAATGATTAGTGAGGTTGACCATTTTTTCACATGCCTGTTGGCCATCTGTATGTCCTCTTTAGACAAATGTCTCTTCATATCCTCTGCCCATTTTTTAATTGGGGTTTTTTTTTTGGTGTTGAGTTGCATGAGAGTTTTATAAATTTTGGATATTAACCCCTGATCAGATATCTTATTGACAAATATCTTCTCCCATTCAGAAGGCTTCTTTTTTGTTTTATTGATGGTTTCCTTTGTTGTGAAAAAACTTTTAAGTTTGATGTAATCCCATATGTTCATTTTTTCTTTTACTTCCCTTGCCCATGGGGATTATATCAGTAAAAATATTGCACAGGGTAATGTTTTCAAATTTAGAACCCTATGTTTTCTTCTAGAAGTTTTATGGCTTCAGGTCTTATAGTTAAGTCTTTAATCCATTTTGAATTTTTTCTTGTATATGATGTAAGGAGGTAGGACAGTTTCATTTTTTTGCATGTGTCAGTCCAGTTTTCCCGGCACCATTTATTAAATAGACTATATTTCCCCCAATGTAAATTCCTGCTTCCATTGTCATAGACTGGCTGAATGTGCATAGATTTATTTCTAGGCTCTCTTTTCTGTTCCATTGATCTATGTGCCTGGTTTTATGCCAGTACCATACTGTTTTGATTACTGTAGCCTTGTAGTATGTTTTAATGTCTGGTAGCATGATACCCCCGACTTTATTCTTATTTCTCTGGATTGCCATGGCTATTCGGGATATTTTTTGGTTACATATGAATTTTATGATTGTATTTTCTATTTCTGTGAAAAATGCCCAAGGTAATTTGATAGGAATTGCACTGAATCTATATATTACTTTAGGCAGTATGGACATTTTAACTATATTCTTCCTATCATGAGCATGGTAGATGTTTCCATTTATTTGTATTTTCTTTTATTTCTTTCTTCAGTGTCTTATAATTTTCTGAATACAGGTCTTTTACTTCTATGGTTAAATGTATTCCTAAGTATTTTATATTTCTTGAAGAAATTGTAAATGGGACTGTTTTCTTAATTTCTTCTTCCGATAGTTTATTAGTGGTATATAAAAATGCAACTGATTTCTGAATATTAATTTTGTATCCTGCTACCTTACTGAATTCGTCTATCAGTTCCAATAGTTTTTTGATGGAGTCTTTGGGGTTCTGTCTATATAGTATCATGTCATCTGCATATAATGACAATTTTACTCCCTCCTTACCAATTTGGATGCCTTTTATTTTGTTTTCTTGTCTGATTGCTGTGGCTATAACTTCCAGAATTATGTTGAATAAAAGTGGAGAAAATGGACAGCCTTGTCTTGTTCCTAATCTTGTAAGGGGAATGGTTTTAGCTTTTCCCCATTGAGTATGAAGTTAGCTGTGGGTTTATCATATATAGCCTTTATTATGTTGAGATATGATCCCACTATTCCCACTTTGCTAAAAGTTTTTATCATAAATTGCTGCTGTATTTTGTCCAATGCTTTTTCTGCATCTATTGATATGACCATATGATTTTTATTTTTCATTTTGTTGATGTGGTGTATCACATTAATTGATTTGCGGATGTTGAACCAACCTTGCATACTAGGGATGAAACCCACTTGATCATGGTGTATGATCTTCTTAATATATTGCTGAATTCTGTTTGCTAAAATTTCATTGAGGATTTTCGCCTCTATGTTCATCAGGGATATCGGCCTGTAGTTCTCCTTTTTTGTACTGCCTTTGTCTGGTTTTAGAATCAGGGTGATCATGGCTTCATAGAAAGAGTTTGGGAGGCTTCCCTCCTTCTGGATTTTTTGGAATAGTTTGAGAAGAATAGGTGATAATTCTTTTTTGAATGTTTGGTAAAATTCACATG